GGTGAGGGTGGGGGGCAAGGCGTGGGGGAGGGGGGGGGGGGGGGGTGTGTATCACGCATTCTGCTGGATCGCTTGTATCTGAACAGCAATTGCCCGCTGTTTAAAATGATACCAAAACCCGGCAGCAGCAGCCGTGTTCTTAGTATAACCGCTTCGGGACAGGACGTTTATTTTTATTTTTTTTTTTAACGGTGGGCAGTCCTGAAGCAGTTAATCTATGGATTTCCTTCACTGTCATTCCCGGTGATAATGGTCACTAGGACTAATACGAAGGGAGAATCTCCCAAATATGGGGGCAAAACCACAAACCCAACAAGAAGGCCCCTGGGGGAAAAAATAATGTATATAAAGCGTTAAAAAAATAAAAGCCCCCGTAAACTTGACCCACCCAATCTGGGGTTGGACAAGCACAGGCATTGTCAATTATTAACCTGGTGAATCTTACCTGGAGGCTAGGCCATTTGTTCAGAGGAATTTTCTTTTGCAGGATGAGTTGCAGGAAATTCCCTTTTTCTTTATACTGCATTTTACTGCAAGATCCTTCAATCTCTTCATGAAAGTGACAATTCCACTGACTGCCCTCTGCAATACAAATACTTCCTTAACAATCCCAAAGAACGTGAAACACAAATAAGTGGCATTACATAAACACACATAATATATATTTATATGTTAGAGCCTCAGGATTTTACTGCTATATGCAACCAGATTTGGAAGATTTCCCCTCCACTGACACCACCTGGGACTGGAAATAAAGAGAAATGTCTCCAACAGCAACAAAAACATAATAGGTTAAATCACGGCCTATCATACTTATCTGATGGATTTCAATGCAGATATCCCCAAAGAAGCTGGTCTCCCCACACCCTCCCACAAAGACATAAAAGGTATGATTCTCTGGTAGCTGGACAACCCCACTTGTTTCAGAATTTAGAAAATCTATTGGCGGAATGTGTATTAGCAGCCCAAGTTGGCCAGAACATAGACATCCGAGTTACAGATTGAGCAGGAACTTTATAGGAGCCAGGGAATTTCAGATTTATGAGTAGAACTATGTGTTGTCGCAATTAAGTGCATATGCACTTACAGTTCTCTCTTGGACCCCCCTACAAAGTTTCACAAATACCTGCTGAGCTTGCCATTAAAGTCCACCTGCCCTTTAAAAATACCTCGACAGGAGCTGGGGACAGGCTCCATGACAGGTGATTGCGGTGGCAACCAATCACAGAGATCACATGATCAGGAGCCCAATTGTAAACGGTGACTTGGAGCAGTTGGTGACAACTCTGTCACTATGCTTTGGGCGCGCACAATGAGCGCATATATGTGACGGCCAGGGGTTAAAGATCGCCTTATTGCCTCCAGTGTTAGCAGCTCAGCAAGAGGTTAAAAGGTAGGCCATCAAACTATACAGTTGTAGGTATACTAAGCTGATCGGTAGTATTTTAACCTGGCCACAGAATTTCCTAAAATGTAAAATCGAACACAATACAAACATGAACCCAGGAGCTGCCAGAAAACTGGGTAGCAGGACACATGATGATGCTGAAGGTGCACAGAACCAATATGAAGATTAAAAGGAGAACTATGAGGTGAGTGCTTTTCACTCACCTCATAGTTCTAGCCGACCTGTGACAATGAGACTGTCACAGGTCGGCTCAGTAGATCGGGAGGTGAGCGAACACATAACGGCGTTCGCTCACCTATCGATCCTGTCACGGCTCTCTGCCGTGACAGGGGAGGGGCTGGATTCCCCCCTCCCCGATCCGCCAGCGCTGACTGGCGGAACGGTCGGGGGAGGGTACAGCTGGCTCTGCCTCTAGATAGGCAGAGCCAGCTGTCACACAGCTGGGCGGATCCCGGCACAATTGTCGGGATCCGTTTCAGCGTCTCAGTATACCGCGAGCAGCAGCTCACGGTATGTTGCGGCTTCTCAGTATACCGCGAGCTATAGCTCGCAGTATACTGAGCCTAGGGTGACGGGAGGATGGTAGTTTGTGTCCTCCCGTTACCCTAAGGAGAACTACGGGGAAAAGACTTAACCCCATAGTTCTCCTTTAAGGCCTGTCTTCAAGTAGCAGACTGTCCTGAAATAATTCCACTCCGGCCAATCAAAGCTTACCTGGGAAATTGATGACACAGTCAGTGTCTGTAAATGCTGCCTCGACATCTTCTACGTTCAAAGCTCCCAGACCGGGGTTCAGTCTAATGATAACTTCCCCAGAATTCTGCTTCCAATCAACCATCATTTCTGAAAGAGAGAACAGAATGGATTTAGTGGATTGAGACAAAGCGGGTAAGATCACTCGTAAGCACATTTACCTTTTCCTATAGCCGCCCTCAATTAGAAACTAAACCTGTCTAGGACAACCATATTCCAACTAGGGAGCTGCTAGTGCAGGTTAAACAAAATGAAAGCAAACAGCCGAATATCCAATTCCCTGAGTCAATGGCCAGATAACATGGAGGACCTGAACTGAAATTGGCCAACATGTAATTGCTCATGTACAAAAGAATATTTGGAGTAGTCACTGTTTAAAAGGAAGGAAAAAAACACAAAAACAGCCAAATGAGAAAGTGGTAAAGCTGGCCAAGTCCCCGTTCACACCTTTATGTTTTGTCGCGCGTTCAACGCTCTATGAACGCTCAACAAAACGTACAAACATGAAAATCCCATTGTTTTCTATGGGTCTGGTTCACACCTTTCCGTATTTCCGCCCGTCTGAAACGCCCTACAAAACGGCCTACGCCCAAACAAGTACATGTACTTCTTTGGGCCGTTTTACATTGGGATACAGCCAAGTAGAATCGCGGTAAAAAAACCACGCGACAGACGCGCATATTCAATACGCCTAGGTGTGAACCCAGAGTAAGTGCTGGGCAGAGCAAGAAAGGGCAACAACCTCTGCTTGGGTTTTATCACTACTGGGAAAATGTTACCTCCCTTCCTGTGTGGTCACCAGATCAGGAAGTGGAGGTAAAAGTCCCTCTCAGTGGGGACCAGGACAGAATTGGGAACACCTTGAACCACTGTGCGGTTTATACTGCTACAGCAAAAAGCATAATGCTCAATTTTTGCACTGCATGTCTTTATTTCCATGATACACAAGGCCCCCTATTAGGTCATTACATCTCATGCATGTGAGCAGCTTATATCTTGCAATACGTGATGGCCTTTTATTTCTTTTTTTAGTAGGTACCTTTTGCTGGCTGTGTTCCAAGTGGGAGATTGGAGGCTCCATTCACATATAGCAGGGATGGCCAAACTGCGGCCCTCCAGCTGTGGTGGAACTACGAATCCCATGAGGCTTTGCAAGATTCTCACTGCCAAAGACATGACTTGAGGAGAGAGATGCATCATGTGATTCGCAGTTTCACCATAGCTGGAGGCCGGAGTTTGGCCATCCCTGACATATAGCATTTGCCTTTCCCGTGCAGAAGACAGCACGGCACGCAAACACTAAAATCTTTACAACCTCCTTATGCATCACATGCCCCTCCCTTTTAGATTGTAAGCCCTCAGGGCCAGGGCCCTCCTAACCATCTTGTCTTGAATTGTATTGTAACATCATGTCTTCCTTATATTGTAAAGCGCTGCGTACACTGTTGGCACTATATAAATCCTGTATAATAACTGCATGCATTCTGCAGCTATTACTATAGACGTGAACATGCGGAATCCGCCATAAAATTGCGCTTGTACTATTTTGCAGGACGCCCGGTTTTGTACCACGCGGGACCGCTGCAAAAGCCCGAACAATGCACATTAAAGTGCATTGATTTTTTTTATGTTTAGAGCAGTACCGCGTGTATCCATATGGCCAAATTCGCAGGGGCAACCGCTTCTGTGTGAATGGAGCCTTACCATCACATCCTGCCTTGAGGACCCTATAGAAAAGACAGTAATATCTCTCCTGAGATACAACATAAAGCTCTAAGCATATAGTCAGAAAAGCTTTGCTTTCCTATCGAAGACTAAAAAAGGTTTTGGCTGGACTTTCAGTGGCACAGCAATAGGGCAATATTACAAATAAATGGGGTTGAAGTTGACAGACTGATCTTTCAGCCTTGCCTATACTAAGCCAGAGATGGACACGTCACTGAGAATGAAGAGGATACCACGTCATTTTCAGGCCTTCAAAAGTAACACAAAGAGGGGCTTTCCTTTCTGAACTTCACGTGTGACGATTTTCGGCTGGTTTGAACGGTGCTCGGGAGACAAATGCCGAACGGGCCGGTGTGCGCACGCGCACACTGCTCGTTCAGCATTGCGGTCATCAGAAGCCCGCCCCTCAGGGGGGCGGGCTTGCGATGATCGAGAGTACAATCTGCCTGTCCAAGATGGGCAGATCGTACGTTTATTTAATTACTTTACAACCATCGCAAGACTAAAGTCTTGCGATGGTTGTACAGTGTATGGCCACCTTTAGACATGCTGCATCCAAAGAAAGAGTGCAATGCAAAGCAGGTCAAACGCAACCTCTTGACTGCCATGTGTTCTACTCTATTAACGTCAATGGGATTTTTCTTACCTGCCTTTGACATGCATTCAAAACACACATCTAACGCAGGAAGCCCATGCCAGTCAACATGAGCCCTAACTAAACTTCATCCTTAGGTAGGGCTACATGGTAGATTAAATCTCTTTACTACTGAGAATGGATTGTTATCAGTTATCCCATCAGAATGACAGTTTGCTGCAAATGAGGCGATTGCCAACAAGTGGTTAAAACTCTCCAGCAAAACCCATCACACAACTTTGGCACTTTAACGTGCTTTATTTACCACGAGCAGGCTAGTGGTTCGCAGATGGATCTCTTCGCCTCCCACTTTGAATCTATGGCTTGGAGAACTTGATAAGATAGTCGCCTGAGAACGTATTAATTTTCAACAGAGGGGTGCTTTGCTCCAATTCAACTCTCTATGGGATAGATGGTACTGCCATCCCTGACTAATTCCTATCGAAGACTAAAAAAGGTTTTGGCTGGACTTTCAGTGGCACAGCAATAGGGCAATATTACAAATAAATGGGGTTGAAGCTGACAGACTGATCTTTCAGCCTTGCCTATACTAAGCCAGAGATGGACACGTCACTGAGAATGAAGAGGATACCACGTCATTTTCAGGCCTTCAAAAGTAACACAAAGAGGGGCTTTCCTTTCTGAACTTCACGTGTGACGATTTTCGGCTGGTTTGAACGGTGCTCGGGAGACAAATGCCGAACGGGCCGGTGTGCGCACGCGCACACTGCTCGTTCAGCATTGCGGTCATCAGAAGCCCGCCCCTCAGGGGGGCGGGCTTGCGATGATCGAGAGTACAATCTGCCTGTCCAAGATGGGCAGATCGTACGTTTATTTAATTACTTTACAACCATCGCAAGACTAAAGTCTTGCGATGGTTGTACAGTGTATGGCCACCTTTAGACATGCTGCATCCAAAGAAAGAGTGCAATGCAAAGCAGGTCAAACGCAACCTCTTGACTGCCATGTGTTCTACTCTATTAACGTCAATGGGATTTTTCTTACCTGCCTTTGACATGCATTCAAAACACACATCTAACGCAGGAAGCCCATGCCAGTCAACATGAGCCCTAACTAAACTTCATCCTTAGGTAGGGCTACATGGTAGATTAAATCTCTTTACTACTGAGAATGGATTGTTATCAGTTATCCCATCAGAATGACAGTTTGCTGCAAATGAGGCGATTGCCAACAAGTGGTTAAAACTCTCCAGCAAAACCCATCACACAACTTTGGCACTTTAACGTGCTTTATTTACCACGAGCAGGCTAGTGGTTCGCAGATGGATCTCTTCGCCTCCCACTTTGAATCTATGGCTTGGAGAACTTGATAAGATAGTCGCCTGAGAACGTATTAATTTTCAACAGAGGGGTGCTTTGCTCCAATTCAACTCTCTATGGGATAGATGGTACTGCCATCCCTGACTAAGTGGACAGCGAGCTCGCCTATTATTGTTCACTACGGTCTATGTTCTTAATATGTAACAATCTAGTTCCGTTTGGAGGTGTTGGCTATTCGTATTGTATTCTGTGTGATATTTCTGCATTGTTCAAAATGTGGCCATCATTCAATATGCCTTGCCGTTTGTTAACGGCCCATTATTTGTTGAATTTTGTTCTGTTCTTTTTTCTTATTACTCCGTCTTTTTTTGGTATTTGAAAATAAGCAAAAATCAATAAAAAAAAACATCAGATTTAAAAAAACATCTCTGCAGCAAAAAGATTCCATTGCCTCTGTAACCCAAGCCTAAAGGGCCTGTTCACCATTAATGTGTTGTGGTAACTAAGGCATGGTGGAGGTATTCACAAAACACACCAACCAGCCAAGCAAAACCATTTTGCCCAATGAACCAACAAACATAGGAATGGAAATGCAACGTTTTTCTTTTGACGCAGCACAGCGCACAGAGGGCTCACACCTGTGTTGTGCCATGCTTCAATGGAAGTATGTTGCAGTAACTCGCTTTGTTGCCATTAAAAATGTCTCGCCGTAATTAGCACATACACCTCATATTACCACAATCATCGGATGCGATCAAGCCCTTAAAAAGAACCCTTTGACTGGATTCACACTGCTGCAGAGCATTGCATTAAAAGGTAGCCCACTTATTGATCCGCAACTGTGGATCTCCAGCCCCTGAACAGGCATTGCCTATACAGTCTGTGGCATGCAGTAAACATCGGTACATAGAAAAAAAAAAGATATTCAGTTATGTCATGACTGCTATTTTTCAGTCTGGGCCATTGTAGTATGATATTTATTAGATTGTAAGCCCTCCTTACCACCTTGTGTTGAATTGTATTGTGATTGTAATGTCTTCCTTATATTGTAAAGCGCTGTGCAAACTGTTGGCACCGTATAAATCCTGTATAATAATTGATAAAGACTATGCATAGGTAGCTCAGACCTCAGAGTGCCTGGTAACTGTATGCAGGTAAGCGTCATTTGTTTACAGTTGCATGGTGACGGCCACAAGGAGCTCGCTTGCAGCTCACGTGTCCTGCAATGCTATGGTGACGGCTTGTTTAAAGCAGTCTTCACTCTCCAGGGATATAAAAGTGCATATGTTAAGCCAAAACATCCTGGAATAAAATAGACAATAGTCTAAGTATAAAATAGGTGTGAACACTGAAAATGACATCCGGCAATTCAGTTACATTATGCCAGATAAGAACATTTACTTTGGAAGAAGCCAGTAAAAGTGGAAATTCACCCTCATCTTCAAAATGACATCAAAGGATGCTTCAAAACGTTTACTAATGACAATCTGCAAACAGATCATTGGAGATTCAGTAATTGCAGCCTTTCTATTGCTGAAAGTGACACTGAACTCAGGATTTATATGTTACAAATACATTTATCTAACTACAATGTATCCTATTTGTGTATCACTCGGCTGTAGATCCTCCAATCATCTCTGAATTGGTGCTGACACTGTCCTTCCTTCTGGAGGGGGGCTACTTTTGTTCCCCATGGTCCCTGTGTGTGTTGTAAAGTAGTCACTAGAGATGCACCAAAATGAAAATTTCAAAACCGAAACCAAACATTTAAAAAAATATATAGTCAGGCCGAAACCGAAAGTTTTTTTTATTTTAACTAATTAAAAAAAAAATCTATATTTTATTTATAAAACTTTAATGTTTTTATATTTGTTATTTATTCATCTTTTATTAAATATTTGCATGCTTTACTTTACTTTTAGGGGCTTTGGGAAAATATCAGGGATCTAAACAGACGCCTGATATTTCCCTTTTAAAATAGAAAAGATTGAGAACACAGAGTCCTCAATCTCTTTTTCTGCAGCAGCCCCTGTTATCAATGAACAGGAAGCCTCTATACTGAGTGTTTGTAAATAATGGAGGACAGAGTATGTTTACTATAACCACAATCATCAATGAACAGGAGGTGATGTAGATCACTTTCCATTTATTCATAATTGAGGATATAGTAACTATTCTATATCCTCAATTATCTACAAACACTCAGCAATCACTGACTGCTTGTACCCGCTCTCCTCTATGACACGCTGTCACAGGAGGCTGAGCTCTCCACCCGCACCACTCGCTCAGCCACCTGTGACAGCGCCGGCTGTCTCTGCCCACACACGCTCTCCTCTTATCTGTGACAGGAGAGACGCCGGCCGCTCACAGCGCTTTCCTCCCGCAGCACTCGGCCGCCTCTGACAGTTTCTCTCCTCCCTGATGGGACACAGAGCAGCGCCCAGCGGGGAGAAAAAAAAAGAAAAAGAACGGATGCGCCGCTGTATTGGCCAGAAAATGGCACTTTCGGCATTATGCCAAAAGTGCAATTTTCGGCCGATATGTTTCGGCAGCCGATATATCGGTGCATCCCTAGTAGTCACTGCTTCAAGCCCCCTCCCATGATGGGCTACAATCTCAATTCTAATTATTAAACTAAACGTTAGACTGTAGTCCATCCCGGAAGCGAGCTTGGAGCGGTGACTGCTCTACAATCCACACAGGGACCAAGGGGAACAAATGACATGGAGTGGCATTTTGTCTTCCAGGTAAACTGATCAGGTCATGCTCATGGGCCTTACCCTGTGGATGACTCCCCTGGCAAACATCAGCAAACGCTATGGGAAGGAAAAAACAATTGTCCACAAAGACGCATCAAATGTCCCCAAACATTCAAACACTCTGATCAAGGCTAAGGTTTGTCACTTGCATGGCGACCAGAGACGCAGCCCAAAAATACAAATTCAAAATAGTTTTACAGCCCAATTAAAGTCTTGCACCTTTAATCTCATTATAATCCATTAAATACCTACCCCTGTTATACTTTGTAGCAAATATTTGCTAGGAAATGCCTTCAAATACTATTTTTTCCCTTTGTGCTCTCACACTGCAGTGCTCTGTGCTGGCAGAGCCCAGTAACAAACACACCCCTCATCATGTGCCCTTTCATATAACTGTAATGCAGAGGAGAGCCAGGGAGGGAAAATCGGGGGGGGGTCAGACATCTCTGAGAGCTGATTACTGACAGCACTGGGTCCATCTCTGGTACCCATTGTAGTGCAGTTTTATTTAGACTTCCAGCAAAACTGCTGTATCAGGAAAGTGGAGGTAGGACCAGGACCCTTAGTGCAATGCCTGTCTGGCTTCAATTCTTTTCTGTGACTTTAAAATAAATAAAATGTTGGGAGACAAAAATCTAACTAGAGTATTTTGCCTTGTACAAATGAGGTGTCACCAAGTCTTCAAAACTTGTATCTAAAAATATTTGCTGACCTTTGTGTGTGGATGGCAGATATGCATTAGAGAGAAAATATTTATATATGGCCCCTTGTTTAGTTTTCATTTACCACCTGAGGTCTGACGAACCCCATTTGGATAACATGCCGCTGTGCTGCAGCTCCTGCATGTGTATTTATATTTATATATGGCCCCTTGTTTAGTTTTCACTTCCCACATGAGGTCTAACACCATTTTGATAACATGCCGCTGTGCTCCAGCACGTGTATAATTGAGTCGTAGAGGATTCCCCGCTCCCCCATCTAATAGGACTAGCCCAGTGGCCAGTAAGGACACTCTCACTGTACAGGTAGTAGCAGCAGATGAAACTTAGCCCTAATGGGCAGCCTTCCTCTACTGACCTTTCTTGGTTTCGCCACCGGACACCATCTTGCCTTCTTTGCTTTCCTGGTTGATGCGATCTTTCTGCTTCTTCTTGTTGATGGCATCTTCAGTTCCACGCGTCACCCTTCTCTGCCCGACGCCCTCGGCAGGACGGGACATCTTCTGCCGCTTGATGGAAACGAAGGGGCCCCCAGGGTCTGTAACAGCGTCTGGGTCAGGGGTTCGGCGTTTTCTACCTGGGCCAGCTATCTTGGCGACTCTCTGTGGGTAGACGCTTTGTCAGGGAAGAAATAATCTGCGGGAGACAAAGGATGACATTCAGTACAGTCATAATATCAACCAGGAACAATGTCTGTCCATTAGGGTGAATAGTCAACCCTTAGCTGGACTTGGCAGACATTCTGAAAAGGTTCAATCCTAAAGGCTTGTGTTGCCGGAGCATTCATACTGAGTTACAAAGTGTAAAGGAAGGAGACAAGCACAGCAAACACCTTCACCAGCGTATCTTAGGTAAAACATCAGCGATATCAGTTCCTCTGATATCTCTTGGCTGATGGTCCCTACAGGTGCCCAATCCATAGGCTTTCCGCTTTAAGGCTTAAAGTAGACTTATAAAAGGAGCTGTTAATCCTGCCAACAAATGTGTATTTCTGTTCATCCAGTTCTGATATTCCCACAGCTCTGTTACACAGTACAGCCCTCTCTGGCAGGGCAGAAGACCTGAGATGTCTCTGCTGCAATCAAGTAGCACTTACAGGTCTTATACCTCCCCTAGCCCGTGACTGGGCAATGAAAGGAGAAGCAGCAGACTGATGGTCACATGTCACCCTCCTCTATCATCCTACCAGCATGCTGCTTGTTAGCACATGAGCACTGCAGTACTGTTGTGTCTGTGTGCTGCTTCTCTCCCAGTCTCAGCTCTGCTGCACAGAGGGCTGATACCAAGTTAAATGCAGATACTTGCACAGTTTACATCTAAACAAAAAATAAAACATTTATTGTGGTATTAATCGATACAGAGCTGCCGTTGTGTTTTTAATATCTGCCTGAAGTTCAGCAAAACCTTTTTTTAGTTCTGGCTACAGTGTAGAAGGATTAGGACCCCCCGTGGATTGGAACCCCCGTCAACGTTTGATTGCCGTCTGTGTCCCCGTTAGGGAGATTAACCCCCCTGGTTGTTCTGGTGACCATTATCACTAATAGTGAAAACAAAACCCCGGTGTTGTCACCAGAACAGGAAATTTTCCAACGGGGACACATTCTGCTGACCACCAGGGATTTCCCTCACTTTGGAGGGACTTCCTCTCCCTTCCTGTTGTGACCAATTGGAACAACATTAACCATTCGCAGTCTAATCATTGCAGACAGATGCGTCTTCGGGATTACTCGGTCGCCATCTGTGCAGCACAAAGAGGAATAGCTTTCAGCTGAAGGCTCCAGGCTGCTCTCAGTGCCCTGAAAGAGTTCAATTACAGAAAAATAATAGGCCCAGAAATCAAAGCGAGAGCACTGAAAATGGAAACGGAGACTTCTGTGCGTAACTCAACCCTGCCCTTGTTTATGGTAATCTGTGAAATAGAACTGCGGCGATGTGGCTTTAGGTGAATGTTCAGCGATTGTGTGTTTCAGTTTGCACCGGCTGCATAAGGTAAATAAAGAAGTGACCTGTTGCAGAGTACAGAGGTGAAATGGAAGGTCGTCTTGTCTCAGCTCAGGATCCAATCCACATGAAGCACACAATCTGCATAACATTTGTATGTTCTCACCCCGGGGATCGCTTGGGCTTCCCCCAAAAATCCTATTACATACTTGCTGGGTAATGTTACAGATACAGAAAAATACCTGTTGATCCTGCCAGATATCCAGAGCTCTACAGTTGCCCCCACACCTGTATGTTAAAGTGGACCTTTACTCCCTTCAACTAAAAATCATATCAGCATTCAGCTCTTTATGCTGATATGAAATCTTACATTCATTATTTAAAACATACATAATTTGCTTTTACTTACAATTATTGTTTTTCTACTTCCTGGTACTCTTGGGCATTAGTGATGTAAACTGTGCCAAGACAATGCATCCTGGGAAGGTTACCTCAGCAGAGCATTGCTGGGAAATCTCATCTGTAATCTCACGACATCGTAGGGAAAGGCCTTTTCCTCCCCTGAGATGATGTGCATGGTCACATGTCCTAATCACATGTGCCAGAGTTCCAGGAAGTAAAGGGAGGTATATTAAAGGAGAACTATGAGGTGAGTGCTTTTCACTCACCTCATAGTTCTAGCCGACCTGTGACAAAGACTGTCACAGGTCGGCTCAGTAGATCGGGAGGTGAGCGAACACATACTGGGGTTCGCTCACCTCTCCATCCTGTCACGGCTCTCTGCCGTGACAGGGGAGGGGCTGGATCCCCCCCTTCCCACTCCCACC